GAGCAGCTGGGTCTCGAACTAGCACCCATATGTGATACTGACACTTCAGGCCAAGGCGTTAACCCGCTATGCCATAGCACTGGTCCCCAACATCATTTTTCATATATCTGAGAAGAATGTCCTTCATATTGTGATTGGTATTGGTATTTCATTGAATCTGTAAATTGCTTTCAGTAGTTTGGACATTTTGATGATATTGATTCTTCCATTCCATGAACATGGGATATTTTTCCATTTTTTAATATCTTCTTCTATTTCTTTCTTTAATGTTTGTAATTCTCATTGTAGATGTCTTTGGTTAAATTTATTCCAAGCTATTTGATTCTTTTGTTTCTATTGTGAATGGAATTGATCTTAAAATTTCATTTTTAACTATGTTATTGTCCGTGTATACAACACTATAGATTTTTTGTGTGTTGATTTTATATCCTGCCACTCTACCAAGCTTTTCTGTATGTTACAATAGTCTCTTAGTGGAGTCTTTTGAATCCCCTGTATGTAAAATCATGTCATCTGAAAATAGAGATAATTTGACTTTCTCCTTTCCAATTTGCATCCCTTTGATTTCTTTTTATTTTTTTAAAGATTTATTTATTTATTTGAAAGTCAAAATTACAGAGAGAGAGGAGAGGGGGAGAAGGAGAGAGAGAAAGAGAGAGAGGGAGACTTCCATCTGCTGGTTTACTCCCCAATAGGCCACAATGGCAAGAGCTTTGTCAATCCGAAGCCAGGAGCCAGGAACTTACTCCAGGTCTCTCATTCTTTTTTTGGATAGTTGTGTCAATAGTGTGTCTATTTTGTTTATTTTTTCAAAAAGCCAGCTCTTCATTTTGCAGGTCTTTTGCATTTTTTGGGTTTGGTTTGTTGTTGCTTTTCTAGATCCTTGAGATGGATTGATAGCCCCTTTATTTGGTACCTTTGCAATTTCTTGATATAGACACCGATTGCTATAAACTTCCCTCTTCACACTGCTTTTGCTGAATCCCATAGTTTTGATATGTTGTATTGTTGCCTTCATTTGTTTTCAGAAATTTTTAAATTCTCTTTTGATTTCTTCAATGAATAAATTCACCGAGGAGCATATTATTCAGTCTCCATGTGTTTGCATATGTGCTAGAGATCCTTGAGTTGTTGACTTCCAGCTTCATTCCATTGTGGTCAGAGAAGATGCATGCTATGATATCAAATTTTTTTTGAATTTGCAGAGACTTGATTTATTTCCATCCACTGGTTTACTCCCCAGTTGGCTGTAATGGCTGGAGCTGTGCTGATCTAAAGCCAGGAGCCAGGAGCTTCTTCTGGGTCTCCAATGCGGTGCAGGGGCCCAAGGGCTTGAACCATCTTCCATTGCTTTCCTAGGCCTTAGCAGAGAGATGGATTGAAGTGGAGCAGCCAGGTCTCGAACTGGCACCCATATGGGATACCAGCACTGAAAGTGGCAGCTTAATCCGCTATGTCACAGTGCCGGCCCCTTAATATTTCTTTTAAATATCAAGGTGCCCTGTAATTAGGTGCATATAAGTTTATTATAGTCACATTTCCTTACTCATTACATAGGCTTTGTTTTTGTTGTTTAAAATTGTTTTAGCTATTCTGGGTCTTTTGTGCTTCCATGTGAATTTTAACATCATTTTTTTTTATCTGAGAAGAATGTTATTAGTATTTCGATTGGTATTGCAATGAATTTGTAAATTGCTTTAGGTAGTATGGATGTTTTGATGATATTAATTCTTACAACCCATGAACATGGAAGATTTCTATGTTTTTGTGTCTTCTAATTCTTTCTTTTTTAAAGATTTTTTTATTTAATTGAAAGTCAGAGTTAAATAGAGAGAAGAAGAGGCAGAGAGAGAGAGAGAGAGAGAGATCTTCCATCTGCTGGTTCGATCCCCAGAAGGCTACAAAAGCCAGAGCTGTGCCAATCCAAAGCCAGGAGCTGGAAGCTTCTGTGATACAGGTGCAGGGGCCCAAGCACTTGGACCATCTTTCACTGCTTTCCCAGGCCATGGCAGAGAGCTGGATCGCAAGTGGAGCAGCAGGGACTTGAACTGGTGCCAAATGGGATGCTGCACTGCAGGCCGTGGCTTTACCCCCTATGCCACAGCGATGGCCTTTCTAATTCTTTTTTTTAATGTTTTATAATTTTCACTGTGGAATTCTTTCACCTCTTTGTTTAAAATCATTCCCATCTGCTTAAATTCTTTATAGCTATTGTGAATGGGATTGATCACAAAAGTTCTTTCTTAGTTGTGGCATGGCATATGTATTCAAAGGCTACTCATTTTTGTGGTCTGATTTTATAATCTGCAACTCCATGGGACAGGAGGAGAGAGGACAGGGACACCACTGTAGCCAGCCATGTGGTGCCGTCAGCTACCAGCTGTGAGCTGCCATCCTACCGGGATAATGTTGGAGGAAATTGCTGCTCATCCTGCTGCTTGCAGTTTTGGCTGAGAGGGAATTCCAGTCACCCACTCCTTTTACTTCATCCTGGGGAGTTACCTGGGGTCTGAGCTACTGCCAAAATGGTTCTGGGAAGCTGGCCTGCGTATTTCCCACCCCCGACTCATGCAGTGCACCATACCCAGCAGTGAAGTGAAAAGTTGGGCAGTGCTCCTCTGTTCTGCTCTCACTAGTATCAGAATGAACAGCATGAAGATTTGCCATTTTTTAATGAGAAAAAAGAGGAAACTGTTGCAGCAGCATCACTGATGATATTGTATAAGGGAGAACCTTGTGAATCAATGGACTTTGAGTGTGGGCTGGAGTGCTAGCGGGGAGCAGGACGCCAACCTAAATCCATGAAGCTAGAGCACATGGCCTGCTTCCCATCTCATTGTTACCATGGGGTAACGTTTTCCACCAGTGGTCGGCTAGGTCTAATGTTGGCAAGAATTTGGAGAAACTGGGTGATTCATACATTTCTGGTGGAAAAGGAAAATGGTACAATCACTCTGGAAAACTCTTGGATTTCTTTAAACAGGCAAACCATATACTCATGATACAACTCAATCCTAAAATTTACTCTAGAGAATTAAAAATTGTTCACTTAGAAATGTGTACAGAAAAGTTTATATCCATTCCTGGGAGCCAAAATGGAAACAAACTAAATGTTCTTGTACATGTGAATTGCGAAATTTGTGAAACGGAATTTGTTCTGTAATTAAAGAAACAGAAGTAAATTATTGATGCCTGCAACTGTTTGGATTGCTTTTGCAGACAGTATGTCAAGCAAAACGTCAAATTTGACAAATTACGCAGTGTATGATTTTATTTATATATATTTTGAAATGAATCAATTACAAAAATTAAACACAGATTTTCAGGGGTTTAGGAAGGAAGTTGGGTTGTGTGTGAGTATAAAAACATTTCCCAGGAGTACATTTGTCTTAAAGAAATCCTTTTTTTATACGTGGGTGGAAATTACATGAACCCATATGTGCGACAAAAGAATCTCATTAGAGGAGATCCTCTTCTCCCCCTAAATTTAATGTGT